TTTTGGCACCTTGTCTAATATAAGATAATTGTAATTTTATGGGTTAGTCTCTGTGGCCTCTATTCTATACCATTGGTCTACCAGTCTATAGGTTCTTAATCAAGAAAATGATAATCATTAATGCTAGTCACTGCAATAGACATAAAAAAATCATAGTAAAAAATTCTAGATTAATTTTAAGCACTGCAAACACACTTAATCATGACAGGCTCATGACAGACATTTCCTCTGCATGCTCAGCTCAAGTGTCAGATCAAAAGTCTCAAGCCTTAGGTTCTAAGTCCAGCAGATGCACACTCACTCGGACCATGGTGATCAGATCAGGAACAAAGGCAGGCTTCTCCTGGGGTGGAGCTGACAGCTGGCTGAGGAGGCGATCATAGGGAGAAGTCCTTGTCTCACCAGAATCAAGAACTGTGAGAATAACGCAGAGGATCAGGCAGATGAGAAGAGTTGGGATGTCAGTACAGGTGCTCATCAAGCTCTCAGGCTGATGTGCATCAGTGTCAGCTGGCTGAATGTTTGTTCATTTGCTCCCTCATTTATACTAAATTTTGGGGCTTCTGACCATCCCTTTAATCCCTATCAGCAGCTTCAGAATTTCTCAGTGACGTCATTCGTCCTGGGGTTAAAGCATCTGGTCTGGTGGTCCCCACCCTGATTTTTTTGCTTCTCCTGCTCATCAGGATGTGGGCAACAGGCCAGAGACTTCATTTTGAGTTTGTCAGGGTGGGGAGAAGTGACTTGTTTGTGCCTGAGGGCGAAATGAAATACTCCATAGGTGTCCCTCGTGAGACTGCAGGTTTCAAACTGGAGTTTTAAAATGGACTTGCTTAGGCTAAGGCCTAAGGCCATCCTTACAAGAGAATAATTCTATAAAATGGGCCAACTAAGCTGACTCCCTGTCTCGAGGGGGCAAAATTTCGAAGTATGCAGTCGAGGGGAGAAATGAAGAATGTCCACGCGCTTCTGCCCCTTTCAATGCTTTATTCACTCAAATGACTCAATACAGTTTCACTCTATAGGTTCTTAATCAAGAAAACAACAATCCTTAATGCCAGGCACTGCAATACACATAATCAATTCACAGAAAACAATTCTAGATTAATTCTAAGCACTGCAAAACACACTTAATCATGATAGGCTAATGACAGATATTCCCTCTGCATGCTAAGTTCAAAAGTATTTAGCCTTAGGTTTTATGTCCAGCAGATGCAGGTCCGGAACCAAGGCAGGCTTTTCCTGGTGTGGAGTGGACAACCTGTTGAGGAGAGGGTTGTAGGGAGAAGTTGCAGTTCTCACCAAGGTCCAGACGAGGTGGTAGAGTTTTAGAGTGGTGAGGCTCATGCAGAGGATCAGGAAAGTTGATGACAAGTGATGGCATGTCAGGTCCTCATCAGGCTCTCCATCCTTGTTTCAGCTGGCTGAATCCCCGTTCATTTGCTGTATTATTTATTATAAAATTTGGGGGCTTTTGACCCCCCTTTTAATTCTTATCAGCTACCACCAGGATTTCTCAGTGACATCATTTACCTGGGGTTAGAATCATCCATCCTGATCTTTTCACCTTTCCCTCTTATCCGGTGAAAACAGCCTGCCAGGGAGGGGCTTCACTCTGTTTATCAGGGTGAGGGGAAGTAACTTGTTTGAGGCCATACTAGAGAGCTCTGTGGGTGTGCCTGGTGAGACTGCAGGTTTCAAAATGGAGTTTTTAAAATGGAGTTGCTTAGGCTCAGGCCTAAGGCCATCCTTACACCCCCATATCCTTTATTTTCCAGGAAGCAATTTGTCTGAAGCTCTGCCTGGCCTAAGTGGACAGGCTGTCACATTCCTCAGCAAAATTCCTGTTATCTGCAGGAGAAATGCAGACCCCCCAAAAAATGTTGATAAGAGGAACCCAAGTTACCCTGAGTGGGGAGACTTTTGTGACCAGATCCAGAAACTTGGTGGAGATAAGGGTAATTCCTTCTGACCATAAAATCCGTAAGAATGTATAGTTAAGAATCTCTTTATGATTAAAACCAGTCAGCATGGGCCAAAGTGACCTAGGGTTGTTATAGCCTGGAGAGTTGAGTCTAATGTCATTCTGCTCTAAGTCAAGAGGTGGACCTGGGCAGGATTCTCTAGTCATTTCTCTGGGATCCCCAATAAAATTGGAGTGCAGGAGAGGTACACTGTCCCTCTCCTGAAAGGACCCATTCTCTCCCTGGAGTGACCTTTTCCCCTTTCCTATCCACTCAATAAACTCACTTCTGTTACTCTGAGGAACATATCTGAAATCTTTCTAACTTGATTGCAAGACTTGTGGTTGAAAAGGGGTGTCAGTATCTTTGCACTGCCTCAGTTTTCCAGAAGGCTCCAGCTCTAACAGTTTGATCCCCAACATCTCACACACACACACACACACACACACACACACACACGCCAAAGAAAAGGGAAGAGTAATAAGTTCTCAGGTATTAGGAGTACTGAAATCTAGCCCCAAGTGGCCACCAGAAGTTCAAATACCCTTATAAAAGCCTGTACACCATAAGGCCCACTTTACTGTCTGATTATAAAGGTAAAGTTCTCCCCAATTTATGTCTTTGAAGCTGAACTCTAGGTAAAGTGGTAAAAACAGACTTTAATCAATAATACTACTGCAATACGGAATCGGGCATAAGCTGAAGTTAATTTCAATTAGTACAGAAGTTCAAGAAAGAATTAAGGAACGGGGTGAGCAAGCGTGTGAAACCAAAAGACTAATTTCAACTGGGTTCTTTTTCCTTGTTTTAAGAACCTCAACATAAACAGGCAAGGCTCCCAGGGTTTCATCCTCTGGAAACTGACTCTGCAGACGGCGGGAGAACTACAACTCCCAGCAGCCCCAGCGAGGGCGAAACTTCCAATTTCCAAGGCGCCGTTCTCCGTCAGCCTGCAGCGTTAGCTTAGCTCGTGCCTCTAAAAAGGGACACAAGGTCAGATAAGGCAGCAGCGGCCCTGGCCGAGGAGTTGCCAGCCCCACAGAGGCCTGCAGAGCTCCCGTCTCAGGACCCGGATAAACGTGAGGCCGCGGGAGGCGGAGCCACGTCGCAGGATGTGCGCTGAGGTCACGTCCGCTGGGTGGGGCTGCAGCGATCCCGCGCAAATTGAAAGGGCCGGCTCTCAACGTGCGACCGGAGCCGGGCTGCCGGTCTTCTGCGTCCCTGGCCCAAGTAAGCGAGGGGCAAAGCAGGCGGGCTTCGGAGAAGCCATCTGGCTCTATTGCCCACAGGCGAGCGTGGAGAGCCTTTCTCCGAAAGTTAGGGGAGCTGGCTGTGCGGAGGCTGATGGTCCCCGCGGGGCTCGATCTACACGTCACGCCGATTCCCTGCTCGGGATTCAAGATTTGGGGCTGGAGGTGAGTTGTGGCAAGCGTCTGGAGCGGTCTTTCCTCCTGTGTTGCAAAACCCTTAGACCCAGGGAGGCCAGCGGAGGGTTGCTTTTGGTTGATGCAGAGAGAGCCCGCGCTCCCTGCAGGCGGGTCCCGGGGAACAGGCGCCAGGGTTGTACCACATCTCACGTCCTCAGCAGGAGCCGGCAGTCCAGGTTTACCTGCATTGTTCCCATTTCTAATTGTGACAAGTAATTTTTTCCCTTAATTACAGGCCAAAGGAAACGCGGCATCTGGAATGGGCTTGTGGCCACGACTGCACATCCCGGAGAGAAAAGGATGAAGTAGTGAAGTCGTTTCTGCTGTTTCTCGTGTGCCACCGGTGATCTCTATGAGTTGATACGCGCCATATGGCACGCAGTCTTACTATGTCAAAGAGGAAATGTTTACTGGAGGGTATTTACCTTGCTTAGAAGAAACTTACCTGTTTCACGAAATGTATGTCATCTCCAATTTCCTCAGCATGAGCAACAACTCGTGTTAGAGACATTTCTGAGAGGTAGGAGACTAATGGTCAGAAACTGACTTGACCGCCTGCATCCAGATCACCTGGGTTCAAATTCAGGCTATCCCATCACACTCCAAAAGTAGTGAGTCAGTCACTGGAGTGGAGTTGAAAATTGCCTACATCTGAAATTTGAAAACTGCTGAACTAGAGAATCAGCTCTAACAGGGTGACAAGAGGGTAAGGATGACTTCTGATTCTGTACTTTCTTTTCTGCCTTCCAAACTTGATGTTTCATAGTAGACACTTGTCTTAAGAAATATCAAGCAAATGCTTGGTGCCCATTGCTATCTTGTCTTTATCCTGTGGAGGTGGAATGAGAGGGAGTAGTTGCTTTGGAAAGGAGAGTGGCAGCTCTGGAATTTCCATGTAGGTCTTAGTGTTCTATAAACTCATGAGAGGGAATGGGAAGTTAAATCATTTGTCATTAGAGTTATATTTGTACAGCAAGCATAGTTTTAGATTTCTTTGGGGAGTAACTTTTTTAATAGTCTAATGACTTGTCCCTAGGCATCACCACTGCTTATTATCAGAATGTTTGGTGGTAGTGAATTTTAGTCCTAAAAAAGTACAGATCTCTTTCTGTATTTCTGTTTGATTATTTATGTATTTTATTTTTTGAAATCCCTTCCTTCCTACAAACTGTTTCTACTCTTATGTGACTTTGCATGTTGGCCTTTTAATGCCTTCTGTGGAGGCAATATAAAACCACAGCATGCATATTTTGTAGACTTTTAACAATGCCTTTTTTGATAAAAGCAGAGGTTTATCCATTTTTGAGTATATCTGTGTGCTTAGGACTGTTAGTATCTTGGAACACAAGTTATGATTCTTAATATAAAAGCACTTTGGAAAGAATAAATATTAAGCAACTATCAAGTGGCATTAGAGGTAATATTGTTGATTAAGGTAAATTCTAACCTATGGAATTTGACAGGGAACAGGCCATTTATTAGCTAAATAATAACAAATTCTGTGTTCGATTGCAAGCTCCTATTCTTCATTTTTCAGAAGATTTTTGGTAAGCATTTTGCTTTAAATATTGCTCTTTTTCCTTTCATATCATGTAGTTAATTTGGCACTATGGGAATACAAGGACTGCTACAATTTATCAAAGAAGCTTCTGAACCCATCAATGTGAGGAAATATAAAGGACAGGTAGTGGCTGTGGATACCTATTGTTGGCTTCACAAAGGAGCTATTGCTTGTGCTGAAAAGCTAGCCAAAGGGGAACCTACTGATAGGTAAGTTTGGACCTTATATTAATTCTTTGAGAATTTGGAATCAGACTTAAAGAGCTTACGCCCATTCCTTCTAGGGATGGATTTTTATTCAGTGTTAGTAGTTATTAAGAAACAAGAGTATGTGTTTGAAAATATTACAAAACCATGGATGACTTCTTTCTGTGACATAGACCTAGTTTTAGTTCTTTGTAATAAGCCAGAGAGTATCAGGACACCAATTGACAGATATGAGATTGTCTCCTTTATTCTTTACCTAAGACAAACTTTTTAACAATGTTTTGAAAATCCATGATGTTCACTCTGTACTCTTAGAGTACAGACAACACATTGCTAATCTCTGGCAGCAAAACAAGGCAAAGGGACAGAATATTCTGACTTCCTTTTTATTTCACTTATGGCCAAAAATTGTGGGGAATGTACACATACAGTCCCAGTTCTGTGATCTCATTTGAGGCAGGTTCAATGTACTAATGCCCTCTATTTTTTAAATAGAAATATTAGAAAATCAAGCAAGTATAATTTTTGGATAGAGATTTTCCACAGGGATTGGGCCAATATTATGAGGGCTCTTTTTTTTTTTTTTTTCCTTTCTTTTAAGTATATAATTTATCTCCTGGAGGAAAAACTCATGGATCTTAATACTAATTAATTAAGCATAATGTATAGTAGATAAATTATGTTAATCCTGTTAGTTTCCATTGAAGAAAGGTGGGGGAGATAATCATTGTTGAATGATGAGTGTTTGGGACTTTCAGGCCTGTCAGGTTAATGCAACCGACAGTAACCCCTAACAACAGTGTCTGAGGGATCTGAATAAGCCAAGGTACTTCTACCACTCTAATTGCTAAAATGACCTTTTTCAAGCTGGGGATTAAACATAAGGGCATTATGCATGCTAGACATGTACTCTAACCATTGACCATGCACCCTCAGCTCCAAGATAACTTTTTTTTTTTTTTTTTAATACTAGGGATTGAATCCAACGGCTGCTTTATCACTGAGCTACATCCTACCCCTTTTTATTTTTTATTTTAAGATAGGGTCTCACTAACTTGCTTAGGCCTTCGCTGAGTTGCTAAGGCTGGTCTTAAACTTGGAATGCTCTGCCTCAGCCTCCTGAGTTTCTGGGATTACAGGAATGAATCACTGTACTTGGCCCCAAGATAATTTTTTGAAAGCAATTCTATTTTTACCCTGAATTTAAACTATTACAATAGTGAATGTCTGCAAGTTTTTTATTACTACTTTCAATGTTTCTTTGAATCTTTCTTCATGGGGAAAAAAAGCTTTATATCTAGTTTTTTGTAAGTTTTGATTACTAATTAGAAGAGGTGTTGAAAATACAGGCAATATCTTTTATTAATAAAGATGAGAGATGAAATCCACAGGACCTGCCCTGTGGTTGGTGCTTGGTGAATATTAATTGAAGTAAAAAGTTTTTGGATTTTCAACACAGTACACACTGTGTGTTTTAATTTTCCCCTAGCAACTAAGAAGTCACATTTAGAACTGGGCACAGTGGAACATACCTGTAATCTCATCAAGTTGGGAAGATAAGGCAGGAGGATTGCAAGTTCAAAGCTGGCCTCCACAACTTAATGAGACCCAATCTCAAAATAAAAAGGGATAGAGTTGTAGCTTAGTGATAGAGCTCTCCTGGGTTCTGTCTCCAGTACCAGGAAAAAAAAAAATGTTACATTTGGTATAATTGATCTTTCTTTTCCACCTTTGAATGGAGAGAAGTATTAGCCAAAAAGATTACCACTTCAGAAAATTGGGATAAGCCTGAAATAAACCTTTATCATTATGATGATAAAGGTTGAGGTAGATAAGTGTGCACTAACTTGGAAAGATGTGTGTGAAATATTTAAAACAGGATGGCTTGTATTCTGTTTAGTAAAAAGAAAAAAAAAGTGACCAGATGCAGTGGCTCATGCGTATAATCCCAGCAGCTGGGGAGGCTGAAGCAGGAGGATCGCAAGTTCAGTGCCAGCCTCAGCAACAGTGAGGCCCTAAAGCAACTCAGGGAGACCCTGTCTGTAAATAAAAATACAAAAAATAAGGCTCGGAATGTGTCTCAGTGGTTGAGAGACACTGAATTCAACCTTTGGTAACAAAAAACAAAAAAAAGTGTTCTTTTAAAGTTAATTATCGTTTTGTATTTGATTTCTCCTAATTTTTGCTACCTACAACAAATTGAAAATAAGGATAATGTAATGAGTCTTTCAGTAAGATTCAACTTCAAAGGCTATATGTTTTTCTACTATATTTGAGCTAAAATGTCTTTTTCTTTATGAAGGGTAGAAGTTTGTTGTTAATTGCCCGTTGTCAGAATAAAAAGCTGAATACAATACATGATCCTTGATTGGATCCTGGGCCTGGGTTTAGAAAACTAATAGCAATGGTATGCTGGATCCAACACATACAAGCTATACATAATCTCTTCCCAACTCAGCATTGACTGACTATATTGGTAGCTTTCCCACTGTTGTGAATATTCACTTTAGGGGAAGCAGACACCCCAACTCCCCAGAACTGGTTGTTAAACATTTACCAGGACATCACTGGTATGAAGAAGCCTTATTGGAACTGTTGAATAAATTTTAATGTAGACTATATATTAGATAGTATTTTTGTATCACTGCTAGATTTCTTGGGTGTGGTATGCTGTTGTTGGAAAAATCAAGTGTTCTTATATTGTTCTTAGAACTTTTTTAGATTTTAAATGATTCAAAAAAATGTTTTTAAATGAGAGAAAAAGTGTGAGATTGAATCAACAAAATGTCTGAATCAGAAAGGTAAAAGCCCTTCAATCTAAAGATGAGGGAAACTAAGGCTTTAATGTCTAAGGCAAGATTTGAACCCAAGTATGAGTTCAAGTTTCCATTTCATATAAAAACACTTGTTTTAAAAAATAAGGTAAAATCAAAATTGTCTAATTTGGTCTTAAATAGAATAAAAGTATTACTTTAAGAGTTGCAAGCATTTAAATGTGTTTTTCTTTTTCCCCATAGGTATGTAGGATTTTGTATGAAATTTGTAAATATGCTGCTATCTCATGGAGTCACACCTATTCTTGTATTTGATGGGTGTACTTTACCTTCTAAAAAGGAAGTAGAGAGGTCTAGAAGAGAGTAAGTTGATTCTATACTTAATATCTAACTTAACTGTGCTAAAGTTAGATGTTGTAGGCTGTATACCATATTTTTTTAAATCTTAACTTGTTGAAGCTTGTTTTATAATCTAGCACATGAACAGATTTCCTAAAATGTTCTGTATTAGATCATTCTTAGTTTTTAAATAAATATCTCAGTTACTGTGTTTTCATTTGATATAAAACATCACTGTGAAAGGGTTTGACAATAATTGTATGTGTGTTCATGCACATGTGTCTATATTTTAAATCACTTGTTTTTGCTTAGAAGCCCAAAGGATCTGGGTTAATATTCTTGAGCATCTGGTTATGCATTTTCAAATAAGTCAAACTTTTTTAATTGTAGCAAAATTTCCTGAATTATACTCTTATTACAGTTTTTCAAGGAAGCCTCTTAAATATATATTTTTTTAATATTAAAAATATATTATTACCTTGCAGAAGACGACAAGCAAATCTTCTTAAGGGAAAGCAGCTTCTCCGCGAGGGGAAAGTCTCAGAAGCCCGAGAATGTTTTACCCGTTGCATCAATATTACACATGCCATGGCCCACAAAGTAATTAAGGTAAGTGAATAGAAAAATAAAGCTAAAAGAACAAATGGCTAAAGCTCATCTAAGCTACTTCTAAGTTGCTCATTAATGGAAGGGCAAGAAAATCACAGGAGAAAAATTACTCTAGTCCTAACATCAAGTAAAGAGGTTAGAGGAAAAGATGAATGGTATTATCAGAGGAGAGGAGTCCAGCTGTTTCTAAGAGAGAAATCCTAAGGAATGAGTAAGGCCTTTCCTCTTGAGGTAAGTTGACTTGGGTATATAAACATCTTGGCGTGTTGTTTGGTAGGAATGGAAGGGACGAATTCCTGGGGGTTTCATTTTCACCCGACTCATAAACTCTTCAGCACTTATTATAACTTGCACTTTTTTTAAATTAGCACATCATAATTGTACAAATTTATAGGATTCACTATGATATTTTCATGCATGCATACAGCATGCATTGATCATGTCCAGGCCCACTCCCCTTTCCACACCCAGCTCTGTTCCTATTAATCACTGTTCTACTTTCAATGACTACACTCAAACCTGTCTCAGTGCCTCGGGCACTATGCCAACTCCTATTATCCTTAATCTGCTTAGAAGCTTATTTCCTTATTTCCTGAATGTTTGTGTCAGCTGCTCAGTCCCAGCCCTCAGGCCCCCAAACCTTTCCCTTTTTTTTTTTTTTTTTCCTGTACTGGGGATTTTTCTTTAGAGACAGTCTCTCCCTGAGTCCTTAGGACCTCTCTAAGTTACTGCTGTTCAAACTACTTGGTAAAGGTGGTATCAACATTTTTTAGGATATAGGTCTACTATCCAGTTTCTGAAGTAAAATAAGCACTAAAGTCTTGTGGCCATTTATTTTGTCTTCATGGGTTCAAGTGGAAAGTAAAGATGGGCTGCAGGAAAAGATGTGAAGTATAGAGGAAGCACATGCTAGTTATAAGTTATTCATTAATGGGAGGGCAAAGAAGAGAGGACTTCTTTTGTGCTTAGTAGAGAAGGGCCTGATTGAATACACATAATAGTACCAAAGGGTAAGAGCAGGACTCCTAATAGACAAGAAAAAAAAAAGGAGAAAAAAAAAATTTGCAGAGTTGCTGAAATTAATAGTACCAGGATGTTGATGCATCTTTCTACCTTTCTTAACTTCCCAAAGCCTCTCCTTGGGCCTTGGGAGCTGTACCTTTGATTTGGAACAAGAAAGGTTGTGTTCCAGCTGTTTGTGATGGGGGACTGTTTTTCCTGGCAATGTCATTTAAAAAGTATTCTCCCCCTCATTAATTTGTTTTAAATATAATGATTAATGTTTAGAGTTTTATCAGTATATTATTAGGCAAACTTTTGTAGCCTGACAGAGCAACCTATTATTTTTGGAGAAAAAATTTGCAAATCCCCAAACATAAATACTTTTAGAACATACATATAACATTTTTAAGATGAAAGCTTTTTATAATTTGAAATAATTTTGTAGTTTGCAGGCACTCCCCCCCCCCCCCAAATATTTCTTTTCTACAAATTTGTAAATTGTTTTTTCACAAATTTCTTAGTGACTGGGTGCTTAGTATAAAATATGCTAGAGCTAAAAGTAGTGAAATATTTCAATGAAATGGTTTTTGAAAATAATATTAGCATGGGCATATTGAAGCTAGTAGTAAAATGGGTTTGAAGTGGAAGTCATTTAGTGCTTTCTATATGCCTTGTTGGAGATTCACTGAGTTCTCTTTCATACAGGCTGCTCGCTCTCAGGGGGTGGATTGCCTCGTGGCTCCATATGAAGCTGATGCACAGTTGGCCTATCTTAACAAAGCTGGTATTGTACAAGCTATAATAACAGAAGACTCTGATCTCCTAGCCTTTGGCTGTAAGAAGGTACTTAACTGCAATGCTACATGTTACTTTTCTATGTTATAGGAATAGTATAAATTAAGAAGCTGAAGTTTTTTTCTCTCCAGGAATAATTGGTTTATCTAAAATTTGCAGTTCACATCTGTTTATATAATATTCATAGTTATTTAAGATGATTTAAGAGTTCAGATAGTCAGGACACTTTTTCAGAGTACGTACTTAAAATTGGAAACAGGTGTTCTTTTGTCCAAGTTTTTTGTTTATTCTTTCAGTGCTGGGAATGGAATCCAGGTCCTTGCATATACTAGGCAAGCACTCTGCCATTGAACTATATCCCCAGCCTATTAAGTCCTTAGTAGAATGTAAACTTACCAGTTTTGCTTTTTAATAGAACAAGCTGTATTTTTTTTCAATTGGTTAGGTAAATTAAGTAACTTATCTACTAATGACATGTTATACAGTTATTTGTAACTATGCATAAAACTGTTTAATGGAAAACTTCATCATGATATATTATTTGTGGATGACTAGAAGGATCCATATCACAATGCTAATGTTTGGTAACTGGTAAATAAGAAATTATGGGCAATTTCTATGTATCTCTTTTCTAAATAAACATGTATTACTTTATTTTTTTAATATTGTATTTTATTTTATTTATTTATAGAACCCAGTGCCTCACACATGCTAGGCAAGCACTCTACCACTGAGCTACAACGGCAGCCCCAAAGCCCCAACATGTATTACTTTTAATAAGAAAAGGTTGATTACTTTAAAATATAAAAGAAGGAGAAAATTTTTTTTTTTTTTTTTAAAGGCATTGCTATTTGGTCATCATTATGATCTGTGATAAAGAGGTGGAGAGAGGGTTTTATTTTTGCCAGAGTTGAGATAATCAAGTCCTGGCTATATACCTGTCTCGTTCTACCCAGCTTCTATTTTTCAGTGTTAAAGGGAGGGATAAGAAAGATTTCTTAGAATTATTGCAGTAAATTAGATACTAATAAATCAAAATGGCCCTTCTAGGTATTAACATTTCACTTTCATTTGAAGGTGATTTTAAAAATGGACCAGTTTGGAAATGGACTAGAAATTGATCAGGCTCGGCTAGGCATGTGCAAACAGCTTGGGGATGTATTCACAGAAGAGAAGTTCCGTTACATGTGCATTCTTTCAGGCTGTGACTATCTCTCATCATTGCGTGGAATTGGTTTAGCAAAGGCATGCAAAGTACTAAGACTGGCCAACAACCCTGATATTGTAAAGGTAAGAGTGATTCACCAAGTTCCCTATTCAATTTCTGAAGCATTTTTAAAATAATAGAATGAACTATTCCGTATATGAATTTTAAGTATTCTGTTCTGTCAGTGTCCTGTAAATGTTATTGAAAGAAACAACTGAATAAAACATTAAAACTTTGCTTTTAGCAATTAATTAACATTGGAAGACCCATGCTTTTAGCAATTCAAAAATTAGTAATTTTTAGCATGAAGACTACATGCTAACATCTGGGGTAGGATCCTCAGCATCACAAAATAAATAAATAAAGCTATTGTGTCCATCTACAACTACCAAAAAAATAAAAAATTTAAAAATATGAGATTAATGCTAGACTCACATTTTTTTTTATTTTTTCTGGTAGTTGTAGATGGACACAATAGATTTATTTATTTATTTTGTGATGCTGAGGATTGAACCCAGTGCCTCACACATGGCAGGCAGGTGCTCTACCACTAAGCCATAACCCCAGTGCAAGACTCATAATTTTTTGACCTCTGTTCTATTGTCTTGTAGTAGTGGTTTTGAAACTTAAACTCAATAATAAACTCATTAAAGGTTAACATAAATCACATGTCTTTATGAAAAATAATCATTTTTTAAGACAAAAGTTAAGAGAGAGGAATTGTACATTTATCAAATCTCTGTAACATGGCTTAAAAAAGCTGAATTCTCATCTACATCTTTATATTTAATCTCATTTGATATCAGGTGGAAGGTATCTTCTGAGAAATTAAAACAGTGGACATCACCACTATATAGATTCTCTGATACCTTTATCTTAAAAAATAAACTGGTATTTGGGCTAGATGGTGTAATTCAGGGAGAACTTGCCTAGCATCCCCAGTACCTCAAAAATAAAATGAATAAACAAATAACCCTACATTAAAGGAGGCTCACTTGTATAGTTTTCTAAAACCCTTAAAGAGGAGAAATCTCATTTTGCGAGGGGGGGAATGCATATGATTTATTTATTTATTTTGTTTTAATTAGTTACACATGACAGTACAACGATCTTGACGTAGCATACATTTGAATCAGATGGGGTATAATTTTTCATTTTTCTGAGTGTACAGGTTGCAGAATCACATTGGTCATGCAATCACGTACATACATACAGCAATAATAAAGTATTTTATTCTGTCCTTCCTTTCCCTCCCCCTTCCCCTCCCCTTCCCTCCCATCACTTCTTTCTACCCAATCTAATGTGACACACTTCTTTTTTTTTTTTTCTTTTTCCTAACTTCATCATACATGTATTCTGTATAATGATGAGAGTCTCCTTCTATCTTCCGTGCAATTCCCCTTCTCCCTCCCTTAGAAATCTCATGTTCTATTTTCAAGAGTATAAGCATGAGTCCTCAGGGCAAAGGGTGATATAGCACAATGGAAAGATCTTTGGGTTGGAAGATAATGGCCTAACTGGGAATAGAGAAACATACCTCAGCTAGCCTGTGACTCTAGGATCTTTGGTTTTCTGGGTCTTTTCTTTATCTCTGAGCTTGATGTGCACCTCTTAACAACAGGGATACATTCTAAGAAATGTCTTAATCAATTTTGTCATTATGCAAACATGATGGAGTATTACACAAACTAAGATGTCTTTGATGTCACTAGATGATATAATCTTGTGGGATAACATATATGTGGTCTCTTATTGAAACATCATTGGGGGGCTGGGGTTGGACTCAGTGGTACAGTGCTTGCCTAGCACGTGTAAGGCACTGAATTCAATCTCCAGCACCACATTAAAAAAATAAAATGCATAAACAACATAAAGATATTGTGAACATCTACAATTAAAAATATTTGGGCTGGGGTTGTGACTCAGCGGTAGAGTGCTCGCCTAGTGCGGGCGAGGCCCTGGGTTCGATCCTCTGCACCACATAAAAATAACTAAATAAAATAAAGGTATTGTGTCCATCTACAACTAAAAAATAAATTAAAAATATTTTTTTTAAAAAAGAAACATCATTGTGCAGTGTATGACTATAATATTTAAGATCCCTCCCATCCTAAAGCATCCATGACCAATAGAAGTTAAATGTCACCTTAGTTTTTAAAATACGATCTTAAAAAAAGATCTAAGAATATTTTAGTGTTTTATAAATACTTTTAAGTTGACAATGGACCTTTATTTTATTTATTTATATGCTGTGCTGAGAATCAAACCCAGTGCCTCACACACGCTAGGCAAGTACTCTACCACTAAACCACTGCTCCAGCCCTCTTGAGTGGTTTTTATTCTAAAGTTTCATGTATTGTTTGTATTTTGTTTTCTAAAAGAAAGGGGCTTTGAAGATAAATTACAATTCATGTTTTTGTTTCAACTTGGAAACATAAACATGATATATAACTGAATCTTCAGTCATTCAGGTTAACAATAGAAAAACCAAAGAAAATGTTAGTTATGAGACCAAATTTTAAGTGATAAGACGTGGTTGTGTTTGCCGTTGGTTTTTTAATGTAGATGAAAGCAATTGGTTTTTTGGTCTCCGCTCATGCTTCTCTGATGTAAATCAGTCAGTCTTGGGGATTACATGCTGTCTGTTCTTTAGTCACAGATAAAATAATTTTGTTTCCATTGTTAGGTTATCAAGAAAATTGGACATTATCTCAAGATGAATATAACAGTGCCAGAGGATTACATCAAAGGATTTATTCGAGCCAACAATACTTTCCTTTATCAACTAGTTTTTGATCCCATCAAAAGGAAACTTGTCCCTCTGAATGCCTACGAAGATGACATTGATCCTGAAACACTAAGTTATGCTGGACAGTATCCTTTCTGAATCACAATGATAGAATTTTGCATTTCTTTTTTCATTATTATGACAATGATAATTTTTTTTAGTGAGACATTCAGTAAAAAAAAAAGAAGAAAATTGTGTATTGTTTTTTGCTTTTTTTAATAATGAAAATATCAGTATTTTGTTTATTACTATGCTGGTAAAAACTTTTCTTTATAAATCTGATGCTCACCTGCCATAGTATATTGATTGTTTAGATTGACTTGACAGGGCTAGGCACTGGGTCAGTCACTTATGGCACTCATTCCACAGTGAGAACCCCTCATTGCAAACAATTTATCTGGACATATGAGTGCACCAGGAGAGGATGTCCTCCTACAGCCACTGGCACTCAGGCTGATGCGGATCCCTGAGTCTTTAGGTGATTCCCTGAATTTTCCCCCATATCTCCCTAAAAAGGGGGCAAGTGCTGACCCAGGCCTTTGCTATTGAAGATGTTCTACTCCTACTGAGACGGATTGAGACCAGCACACTATGCCTGTGATTGCAGTAATGCTGGTATATAAGAAGGATCCATTTAAATCATGAATCTTCAATATTTTCAATGACAATCAAAAACATTTTCCTATCATAGTTCAGTTTCATTTGATTAGTTGTTAATGTAGTCATATTTCCTTAATTTTATCAACCTAGGTATGTTGATGACTCTGTAGCTCTTCAAATAGCACTTGGAAATAAAGATATAAATACTTTTGAACAGATCGACAACTACAATCCAGACACTGCTATGGTAAGATTTTAATGGCTGCTACATAAAAGCACATTTTAGTTATATCTCAAAAACCATGATTAAAGATTTATCTTTGTTTAGTAAACATCTCTGAAGCATTTTTGTATCAAGACACTATGCAGAGTATTTATTGAATCAACTTGATCCTAGAAAAGTTATAAAGAACCTAGGTTTATTGGCAAGGTTTGTTGTTGTTGTTGTTTTGTTTTTCTTAAGTTAGTAAGTAACCACATTGTGTATTACCAAATGTAGACTTTAGTACTCATATGATCACATTTGGTGCCATTTTTGTCATCTCACCCTATTCACCCTCTGTGGCATTTGGCATTGTTGAAAACCCAAATCTAGTCACGTTGCTTTTGAGAATATAAACTATTTTTTTCAGTCATTCGTAATTGAGTGAAGTCATTGAATACCCCTGTTGTCTTTGAATCCTTTACTGTTTTTTTCATTGTATTTATCCCTTTAGATGCAGTCTTGTTACTCTTCATATTCCTGTTCATATTCTGTTCTCCTTTCTGTTCGTATTTATTCCATGTAAGTTCTTTTAGTTATGCCATTTATGCAGAGAGCTCACATGTGTTTGTACCTTTACCCCCATTGCTTGCCTATGTACCAGCCTCATAATTCCCTTTGTGATTTGGTCCCTACATAAATAGTTTCCACTAACTTAAAATGTATCCCATAGTCAAAACTGAATTCTGCATGGTTTATCAGTTTCTCTTAATAACATTTCTTGTGTTTTTGTTTTTGCATATTTATTTACACATAACAATACATCTCTTTTATTGTTTATTTACTCTTTTTCCCCAATAGACTATAGTCTTTATAAAGGTGTAGTTTTGTGATCTTCATTGCTGTATTGTATTTACCACATTTCTTTGTTGGAATGAGCGAATGTCTTTTATGTGATCTCTTATTTTCTCAAACCAGAAAACTTAGAAATAAAGTTTAGCATTCTTTTGATTGCTTCTTTTAGCTTTTTTTTTTTTTTTTTTTTTTGGTGATATTTTCTGTTTTCTCCTAGCTTCCAGTCTAGCATAGGTCTTTTTCCCCTTACTTACTAATTCAGTCCTTTACTAAGCATTTATTAAGTACTGTGATGACATAGTTAAGTTAGCTAGGGTTCTGGAATATAAAGAAAAGTAAAATACCCTCCTTGCCCATAACGTGCTCATTTCTAGAAAAAGGAATGTGATTATATAGAGAGAAATGTGGAGAGTGCTATAATAAATGTTTTCTAGGATCTGTGAAAACAAAAGGCATAGACCTAACCCCACATGAGAAGAGAATGCTTCCTGATAATAATAACAGTTTTTGACCACGTATTATATTTCAAATGGTATTTTAAGCACCTTCAACATAGTAACTGATTTATATTTCAACAAGCCTCTGAAGTCAGTACACACTTTGTAGACAATTAGAGAAAAATTAGGTAACTTGCCCAAGTCACACATTAAATAAATAGGAGAACTGTGATTCTAAACCAGGCATTCCACTGTCTGCTCACAGAGAAAACAATGTGTGTCCTTGGTCTGCATGGATTAGCAAGGGGTTTCAAGGGTGAGTGATTTCAGGCCAAAGAAAACAGCATGTGTAGTAGAAGATAAAATGGTAAGGGAATTTTTGTGTTGTTCATTATGGACAGACCAAGAATGACTTAAAGTTAACCTTGTAAAGGAATCAGAGCTCCTTGCAAAGGAGAAAGCAGTGAACCTGAAGAAAATGCTCACTAACAAACTGGTGACAAGTTGAGCATTTAAAACTAATCATGCCAGGTGAGGTGGCGCACACTTATACCCAGCAACTCAGGAGGTAGAGGCAGGGGCAAATCCTTAGGAGGATCAGCCTCAGGAACTTAGCAAGACTCTGTGTCTCAAAATACAAAATAAAAAGGACTAAGGATGTAGCTCAGTGTTAAAGTACCTTTGGAATTAATCTCTAGTACTAAAAAAGGAGAGAAAGAGAGCACCATAGTCCTCATCATAATGATCCAAAAAGAGCTGTATGTTCATCAACTCAAATTATGTAAACTTCATACTCTGATTGTTATTTCTTTATTTTGTTTTCTAATCTGCTGTCCAGCATGGTAGGCACTAACTACATGTGGAAGTTCACATTAATTAAAATTAAAAGTTTGGCTAAGAATATATCTCAGTGGTAAAGCACTTGCCTAGCATAGGTAAGGCCCTGAATTTGATCTCCAGCAGCACCAAAAAAAAAAAAAAAAAAAAAAAAAGCAAAAGAAAGAAAGAAAAGAAAAACAATCACTTCCTATTTTAATTTTTCAGTTACATTGGCTATCTTTCATGTGTAGTGGCTATCATTTCTATCATTGCTGAAAATTCTATTGAATTTTTAAATTTCTACCACATCTAAGTATTCCTATAATTGTACTTTTTAAAAAAAGATTTGTATTAAGAATATAACCTAGAATCACTCTCCAGGAATATTAAATATATAATTTCTAGGACATTTTCTTTGGCTGTTTGCATCATCTCTGTTTGCTATGAAGGTATTTTTCTGTTTATTTTGGTCTTTTTTATGGTAGAGACTTTCTTTTTTCTAATCATGTTTGAGAGAGATTGAAAAGCTCGTTGGAAACTAGTGTGTGGAGGAAAAGCTTATAGTCTTAGACTTTACTCTCATTTGTAACAAGCTGGCTTTGCTTTGTAAATTCTTTGGTGTCAGAGAATGTTTTCTCTGCACAGTTACATTTTTCCAAAAGGGAATCCTCTAGTGTCTACTTAAAGTATATAAACCTGACCCTGCATTTTGAGAACAGGATACTGAGAGTGAATTGGGGCAAGCTGAGTGATTCCTAACCATTTATTATTTAGCTTCTCATTTCATGTTGTTTCTAGAAAAAAAGAATATCTTCATCTTCTAAATGCCTACTCTTTTATATTTGTTTCTATGTTTCAAAAGTCCAATCATGTGGTTATGAAGTCGGTAGTGTTAGCTGACTGTACGGTCAGGTTGGTGATGGGGATCCAGCAAATAACAACCCCTTTTCAACCTTCCCCCATCTTTGGCCTTCAGAGTCCCTTGTGCCTTAAATTCCTGAGCTTTTCTTCAGGGTTTTGCAGGTGAAATTGGCTTTTCATTGGTATTCTCTTCTGTTGATACTTAGGTTTGGTATTTCTTCTGCTAAGTCTTTTGACACATTTATCTTTTATCTTCTGTAGTGTGGAAGTATCTGATGTAGTATGGAATTGTCTTTACTACAGAAAATAGAGTATGGACAAAAGTACCTCAAAATGTTATTGTAGCTAGAGTTTGTGCTTGTATTTCTTGTCCTTACTATTTTGTGAAGTGATTATTGGAAGAAAGGGTCTGAAAGTGTTCACTCTGCTCAGCATGTGAATTAGTGATACTATAATTTCACCAGAAATTATTCTTAAGTTTTTCATTTCAGAAAGTCAAATGTAGTTGTATTAAATATGTCTAGTTCTGAACAGCAAGGTTATGGTTTATTAAAACAACCATCCTTCATAAGCCCAAATCCCTGTCTAATCCTTCCCTTTTTCATAGAGAAATTCATTATACACCGAACTAATTTTTTTCATGTGAATTTATTCTTCCCTGTCTGATTTTCTGCTCACCTATTTCTACTTTTTCAATAAAACCATCAGTGGTATATAATTCCTGGAACAATACTGCTAAAATAATTTTTAATACTCATTCCCTTAATTAAGTTATATTCCTTGTTAATTCTCAATATCCTGATTAATGTCATCTTGGTTGATTTATACTTATTTTCCTTTTTATTTAAGTGCAAAATTTAGATTTTAGTTTATGTGGGAATTTATCACCTGGGATTCATGCCTCCCAGTTGACATTTTTTTGTTGTATCTCCTACTCCCCACCCCCCCACACACACACTTTACCTGTCCATTTTTAAATAAGACTATCATTGACATCCTTTTAGCAGATCATTGTCTTTGAAAATGTGTCATAATTGGGAAGAATTCATATTGGCATTAAAAGTGATTGCCAATACCAACTGGCATCAAGCCACGCCCTTTCTCAAAAACTCTCATTGTAGACCACAGTAACTTTTTATTTCTCACCATTGTCCACTAAAGATGGCATCTGGTGTGGATCTAATAGAAACTAATGTTATGTAACCTTCACATGTTTGGGTTGAACTCAGCCATGTTCTTAAGGTAGGATACTTGATTACATAAAAGTACATGATTTTATGATCAGGTGCATTTTAAAGGTTACATGTATGATTATTTGTAGACATATTGCCAGTTAATTATTTAACTAATTAATATTGTGTATTGAAATAGTATTCCAATTTAAAGGTGACTTTTTTCCTAACCACACTTTGTCAATTGCAATCTCATTTCTTACACTATTCATCTTAGGAAATTTTGTTTTTTATTTCTTACAAATGAGTCAATAGAATGGCTTAAGTCTCATTAGAAGAAACACAGACCTGGGAACACAAGACACATTTATAGAAAATATAGGGCTAGCTAAAAGTATAAAATGTTGTTAAGGGACAGATACTTCAAAGCTGATCTTTTTAAGGATAATTTATTTAATTCTAATCTATATCGTTAAAGAGGGAAAAGAATTGATTATCTTTCTTCTTCAAGTAACCTTTTTCTTTTGTAGTCTGACCTATCAAGAAGTCATAGTTGGAACAACAAAACTTGTCAAAAGTCTTCTACTGTTAACAGCATCTGGCATAGGAATTATTGCCCTAGACTTGAGTTGGATAATGTTTCAGGTGCTACACAATTGAAGGAAAATCCAAGAACTGTGGGCATTAAACAAGTGATTAGTACTAAAGGATTAAATCTTTCAAGGAAATCATCCATGGTGAAAAGACCAAGAAATGGTATGTATTTAGTTTTTCATAGAATACTAGTGAGTATTGGTCATATTTAAGAAATTTTTGTCAAACCTAAGATTGCTAAAATCTTATTTTTTTTCTAGAAGTTTTATAGTTTTGGCTCTTATATTTAAGCCTGTGATCCATTTTGATCTAATTTTTTTTTTAATATATTATGTAAGGTATTCCTTACCTTGCATGTGGTAGTCAAGTTCCAGTATCATTTGTTAAAAAGTTATCGTTTCTTCAATTAATTGCCTTGCCACAGTTACTCCAAATCAGTTGATCCTATAAGAGTGTGTCTTTTTGAACTCTATTATTATGTGCTATTAATCTCAACTTAGGATCAAATATATTATTTACCACTATAGTTGTAGTACATTTTGAAATCGGGTAGTATAAGTCTTCTAAGTTTGTCCTTCTGTTGAAAAGTTGCTCGTGTTATTGTTATTTTGTGTTCTTCATATTTCCATGTTTATTTTAGAGCTAGTTTGTTAAATTTTTTAAGAAACAAAAAAAAGCTGTGGGAATTTAATTGGATTGATCTATCTGTACGGAGAGAGTTAGTGTCTTAACAATATTGAGTTTTCTAATCCATTTAAGCCTTTAATACTCACTAATTTATAATATAGACATCTTACACATCTATTGTCAAATTTATCCTTATATTTCAGATTATAAGGATAATCTTTAATTATCCTTAATTAAATGATTAATAATAATAATGCTTTAATTGTATTTTTATTTCAATTTCCAGTTAATTGCTAGTATATAGAAATATAGTTGATTTTTATGTTAATCTGCTGTTTTCCAACTTTGCTAAAATTGCCTATTAGTTCTAGTATTTCTTATAGACTCTAGGATTTCTACATAGATGGTCATGTCACTTATGAATAAAGACAGTCTTACTTTTCCTTTTGCAGTTTAGGTGCCTTTTTAAAATTTTTTTTTTTTACTTTTTATTTTTTGTAGTTGTACACAGTGACTTTTATTTATTTTTATGTGGTGCTGAGGATCAAACCCAGGACCTTGCACATTCGAGGCGAGCACTCTACTGCTGAGCCACAACCCCAGCCCCAATATTTTCTGGAATATTAGAACCTCCAGTAAGATGTTGAACAGAAGTAGTAAGAGGGAGCCAGGCATGGTAGGGCATGCCTAACTCCAGCTACTCTGGAGGCTGAGGCAAAAGGATCTTGAGTTCAAGGCAATTTAGCAAGATCCTGTTTCAAATAAGAAGGACTGGGGATGTATCTCAGTGGTAGAGGTTTGCCTAGCATATACCAGGCCCCAGGGTTCAATCCCCAGTATCAGGATGGCAGGAGGGAAGCACTAAAAGTAGAGTACTAGGTATTGAGAAACACGGACGTTTTTTTCACCACAAAAGTGGGAAAAATAATTATAATCTCTTTTTTCTCTCTTACTTCCTTCTCTCAGCTACATTGATGAATGGAAGACTAACAACAAAAACAAAACAATGACCTTTGCAAAATTTTAGGACATACTTATTTTTAAGCTCAGTATAGATTATATGCATTTGGCCAAAACATTTTGATTTCTTATGAAGCTAAGTCTTTTTCATGATATTTCTGAACCTTTTTTTATTCATATGAAATGGGAATTATGATATATGTTATATAGCATAAAAATACGTGTGAAACAGCAAATAAACCATACTTTTTTCCCCCTTTTTTTTCCACTTCAATACAGATAGGCTATTTATTTTCTGTAAATGGCTCATTATCAGTGAATTCTTTATGTTGCACTAAGTCTGCTTCTTTATAACTACCATTTATCGATGGATTTTGTCTCCTAGGTGTGCACAGGCACACATACCCACAAATACTGGAATAAGTTTAATCCCTATTTTTATGACAGTCCTACAGATACTATTGATAACAGTTATGACTTTTATAAATTTCCTAAGCTAAAAGTTCTTTATCAAGATTGTGTTTTAGATGAAATATAGTTTTTTAATAATTGTATAACTGCTACAGTGAGTACAATTCTTGAGATTTGGTCTACTTATAGTTGTAGCATTCCTTCAGTCTTTCATCCAGGGACTGTGCTTTCATATGCAAACTGAGATTGCATTAGTTTTTATTAGCATTCTTGACATTTTCCTGGCATTTACCAAGTTTATAATTGAGTTCCTTGAGTTGCTATTGAACCAAGTACAGTTATATTTTAAACTCAAGTGTGGGTTACATTACCCTTGTTGTGGTAATTTCAATTCATGTTAGTTTTTAATGTCTACTAGAATTGGAAAAAGTACAGGAATCTAGAGTGTATGAGACCAGCTTCTTTTCAGACTAAGCATTGACAGTAGTCTCTTTGGCTGTAGAACTTGCTGCAGATCCACATAACTAATACATAACAGGTACTGCTCTACATTGTCCCCTAAGATAGTATGAGAGATACTGAGGTATCTTGCTGAATTCAAGATATGCACACCTTTCTGGAATTCCCCTAAACAACTAGACTACCAGACTCATCATAACAAGAAAATGAGTTTAGTCAACAGACTAAACTGCTGTTTCTTCTTGAAGAAGCCTTGCTAGGTATCCTAGAATACTTGATTTTTCTTTTTCTGAAGGACTCATAATCCCCCACATAATGAGCAAACTTAGCCAGGGATCAAGATAAAGTTTACTGATCTATAACTTTTGAAATTTCAGTAGTACCTTAGTGCTATTTCTATATCCTAATTCTCAGGCTTTAATCTATTAAGCTTATTCAGACTTATTAAATGTATTAGAATCATTCAGTCTTGCAACTTATTACAGTACCACAGAATGCACTTGATAGACAGGAGTCTTCTTGGGCCTCTTATCTAGGTAATAACAATCAGATGTTTAAAGCAAAAATCACTTTTGACAATGTGTGAGCCACATATACTTTAAAAAACTATAAAACATGAATGGTATGGATAAAAAGTAAGACTTCACTGTTAGGACAGTGGATACAGACCATGAAGTCAAAGCCAAATCTCTAGGACTTACAGATTCTTTTGTTTTTATTTAGAAGAGCTGTCAGAAGATGATCTATTGAATCAGTATTCCCTCTCATTTACAAAGAAGATCAAGAAAAATAGCTGTGAAAATAATGAATCATTGAAATCTTCTGAAATGTTTGTGCCTGCCCTGAAAGATGGAACTATTCAAACAAAAACCTTAAGCACACCACCTCAGACAAGAAATAAATTTGCAACATTTTTACAGAGAAAAAACAAAGAAAGTGGGGCAGTTGTGGTTCCAGGGACCAGAAGCAGGTAAAGATACATTTTCAGAATGTTTTTTATCTGATATATTATGTAATGGGTTCATATTTATTTTGTCTTGAGTTAAAATTGGCTTTAGAGCCAGGGAGGCGTAGGACCTGCCTTAGTATGTCTACCATTTTTATCATGAACAGACATCTCCCAACACATGAGGCTTCACCTTAGGATTTTGGGACTTTGATAGTGTGAAAGTGATATGTATTCAGTATAAATGGTACTTTGATTTTTTTCGGAGGGCTTTATGCAATTTTGTGAGTCTTTTTGGAAGTATATTAAGATATAGATAACTGTATAGTTGAATATTAACTGTGAATCCAATACCATGCTGTGTGTTGTGATTCCAAAAATGAGATAGACATACTTTTTGTTTTTGAGACATTTGTGGTCCAGGTGGAAAAATAAGTACATAAACAAATTTTTTCATTTATTGTGGCAGTGTGGTCATTAAAACACATATAAAGTGTTCTGAGAGCATCAAAGGGGCAGTGTTTAGAAAGCATCAATGTTGGATGTTCCTGGTAGGGTGAAGCTGACAAAGACTGCAGCCAAACACCTTCCCAGTAGAGCCAAACAGCTTGAGCAGAGGTTTCGGGATGGGAAGCAGCATGGGGCATGACACAACTAACTTACTGTGGATAGTTGCTGTTATTACTACCAGAAAGAAAGCTTGGAAGAGGGAGGTGAAGAGGCAGCAGTAGTAGGTGGGTGCCAGCTCATGAAAGGCTTGTATGTCAAGCTAAAACCTTTAGTCTTCTTTAGAGGTGATGGGAAACATTTAGAGGGTTTCTTATCAGGAGAGGGTTGTGATTTGATTCTCATTTTAGATAGACTACTGTGAACACCCAGAGAAAACAAGTTTGAGAGGACCAAATGTGGAACACAAAGATCAGCTGGGCTGTTCCCATAGTCCCTGTAAAGGATGATGAGATTTTGAAAAGTATTACAATTTGGGGGTTAGGAATTTAAACCCCTGCATCAGACCTCTTAGATTTGAGTCTTGTCATGTTCATGAGATGTTTGATTTGGGCAAGTTTACTTCTGGGTGTTTTACTTTTGTAAGAAATAGAGCTTTCCAAAGTGTTGAGTTCAGTTCAGGCAACTTCCTGTTCTGTTAATTAAACTTTGGTACATTGAAATAGGCCAGGAGAGACTATTGGATAGAAAGTGTTATTCTATTCATTTACCTCCCAGCCTACAAAAATAAAAATTTTAAAAAATTTTTAACACAGTTGTAACAACCCCAGTGTTGTTGAGACAATTAACTAATTAATTAATGAGTTATTTTAAGTAAATTGCCTAAGACAGGACCTGTGGCTTTAGATGGTTGTACTGTATTAGTCCATATTCTGTTGCTGTAACTGAATACCATAGACTGGGAAATTTATTAAAAAAAAAAATAAAAGTTTATTTAGCTCATTATCTTATATTTAGTTCATTATCTTAGATTTCAACCAATGCTTACTAAAGGAGGTAGATTCTCTTTTTTAAAAGGTTCTTTCTCCTCCTCTTTCCCTCTCTTTCCTTCTTCCTCTCCCTCTTTTTTTCTCTTTCTCTTTCCTTCCTCCCTTCTTCTTCTTTCCCTCCTTTCTTTATTTCTCTCTTTCATTCTCTCTCTTCTTTCTTTCTCACCCCACCACCTTTTTCATTCTGCAGTATTGGGGATTGAACCCAGGATCTCACATGCACTGAGTTGCATTCCAAACCACTTTTTATTTTATTTTTAAACAGTCTTTTTTTTGTGTGTGTGTGTGTGTGTGGTCTTTGTTAAGCATTCTACCGCTAAACTATGTCTCTAGCCCTTATTGGAGTTTTTTGAAGCATTTTTTAAAGCTGCTTCACTGAACAACTAATATTGCTTTAGTAATAACAGATTTAGTGATTAATTTGAAAGTTTTTATATTTAAAATAGCAGAAGTTGATAGGGTATAAAACAAGCTGGTAGATTAGAATACTACTTCAAGTTCCCAGGTGATTTGATGCTAGGAGTAAAAGATAGGTAGATGGCTAATTTATTTTCTTTCCTATAAAATATGAGGTAAGAGTTGAAAATTGTCCTTTGTGTTATTCATGTGTATGACTGCCAACCGTGTGTTAGCTATTCTCTTAGGTACAATGAAGATGCAAACACATGGACAATACCTACTCTCAAACAGCTCACTTTCTCTTTGGGAGTTAAAAGAGTTAAAGCAGGGCTGAGGAGTCAGCTCAGTGGTGTCACCTTGCCTAGCCTAGGCTAGGCCCTCAGTTCCTTTCCCAGCAGTGCAATAAATAGATAGGTTAGGGGAGAGAACACTTATGTAATGATTAGGTCTAGATTAAATATTAGGTCTAGAAATTTCAAATACATATATAGAGAGAATTGTTTTTAGGAAGGCCTGTTTAAAAATTCATTGTATAAATAAATTCTAAATGTGAATGTTGGCATAATAAAAATTAAGCTTTGATTGAAATTCCAGCTCTATATTGCCTTTACTTATAAAATTTTGAATCTTGTTATCTTTGTGAGAAAACTCTAAAATACTTAATAATCTATTCTTCCTGGTTTTTTTTTTTTTTTTTTTTTTTTTT